TTTACTTTCAAAAGATTGGATGTGAAACTTCCATGACAAATTTTCATCAAGTATTACGCCTAAAAAATTAACAGTAGATTCCCTTTTTACATCTGTTTTATTGAATAAAAGATTTGGCTGTTTAAGTGGAATTTTATCAACTTTACTTGGTTTGTGGAACAGGATTAATTTAGTTTTATCTACATTTAGTGAAAGGCGGTTACTAATCAACCATTCATTTACTTTAGATAATTCTTCATTAAAAATTTTAAAGAGAATTTTTATATCTCTGTGTGAATAAAACAAATTGGAATCGTCAGCAAACAATATAAGATATAATTTTTTAGATGCTAAAAATAAAACGTTTATACATACTAGAAACAATAATGGTCCTAAGATAGATCCTTGAGGAACCCCGCAATTTATAAGCTTTTTTTTGGTTTCATTTGTTTCATAGGTTATGCATTGTTTTCTGTTAGTCAAGTAGTTTTTAAACCAAAGTAAGTTTAAGTTGTTTACTCCATAAAGTTTTAATTTTTTTATAAGGATTTCATGATTGACAGTGTCAAATGCTTTGGATAAATCAATGAAAACTCCTAAGGTAAAATAATCTTTATCAAAAGCATCCGATATATGGTTTACAAGCTCAATTACCGCGTGATTCGTAAAATGTTTTTTTTAAACACAAATTGTTTGTTGTACAGAATATTATTTGATACTAGATGATTATAAAGCCTATTGTACATAATGCGTTCTAGCAATTTAGAGAAACAAGGTAATACAGAAATAGGTCTATAGTTTGAAACATTTGTTTTTTCACCTGACTTAAAAATCGGTGTGATTTTGGCTATTTTAAGTTTGTCTGGTACAATACCAGACGTTAATGAGAGATTAAAAATGTGAAACAATAAGGGTTCAATGATATCAAAGACTGATTTAACTACATTGACGCTAATTTTATCTAAGCCTGCACTTTTGTTATTTTTCAGAGAGCAAAAGACATTATGCTTCTCACTTATATTTAAATTTAATTCTGTCATAACATTATTTGCTGTTTTGAGGTATGTTTCAAATTTTATGCTACTAGATGGAATTTTAGCCACCAAATTTGGACCAATCTCAAGAAAAAAACTGTTTAGCTTTTCAGCTATGATTTCTTTATCATTAACAAATTTTTCATCAATTAACAGTTTTTGTGGCAAATTGTTTTTATTCGAAATAATTTTGCCAATAATTTCTTTTATTTTATTCCAAGTTTTTTTTGTATTTCCATTACTTTTTTCCAATAGCTTTTCATAATAAGATTTTTTTGTTTCTTTATTTATAAATGTTATATTTTTTTCTTTATTTATAAATGTTTGTTTCTTTTCTTTTTTTTTTTTCTTTATTAATAAATGTTTATAAATAAATGTTTATAATAAATGTTTATATATATATATATATATATATATATATATATATATATATATATATATATATATATATATATATATATATATATATATATATATATATATATATATATATATATATGTATATATATATATATTTATATATATAATAAATGTTTATATATAATATATATAAACTATATATATATAATATTTATATATATATAATATATATAAATTATATATATATATAATATATATGTTTATATATATATATATATATATATATATATATATATATTATATATATATATATATATATATATATATATATATATATATATATGTATATATATATATATATATTTATATATATAATAAATGTTTATATATATAATATATATAAACTATATATATACAATATTTGTTAATATATATATAAACTATATATATATAATATATATGTTTATATATATATATAATATATATATAAATTATATATGTATAATATATATGTTTGTATATATATAATAAATGTTTATATATATATAATAAATGTTTATAATAAATGTTTATTTATAAATGTTTATAAATAAACTAAATTTTTTGTTTCTTTATTTATAAATGTTTGTTTCTTTCTGTTATAAAATTTTGTTTCTTTATTTATAAATGTTATAAACCCATTCTTTATTTATAAATGTTAAAAGACATTAAGAAAAAACAAGAAGTGTAAATAGACTGTTACATTTTGATGAGGCCGGTCACTAATGGTTTTCACGGTCAATGTTTTAAAGGTAGCCCAATCCTATTTGTAAATAATTTTTCGTTTTACATATTTAATTCTAAATTTTCATAATAAAACAATTTTTTTTAAAAATATTATCTATAAAAGTATTGTATTACCTTCGTCTAATAGATAAATTTAAAAAAACGTTTATATAATGTATAATAATAAACTATCAGCAACTGTTAAAACATTAAACTCATATGAATAATATGTTGATTTTTTCAAGAGTCGAGTTCAAATAGATTTCAAAATCGGTGTAAGCTTTGATATGTTGATTATTGCACAATAAAATGTTAATTAACTCTGGCTTTTTGACTGTAATATATGAAAAAGTCTTTAAAACTTGTAAAAGTTAAAGCTATGAATAAAGAAATCAATCTTGAGACAAAAAGACTTTAAAACCTACCGTTAAATAAATTTTGTTTTTTTAAACTTCTCAGAGCAAACATAAAACTTCTGCATAAAGTTTGGAGTTACAGGTAAATTCCAAAGTTTAATAAAATTTTTTGTTTTATTATAAGAAATTGAGGATAAATCATCATTAAAATGATATGAAAAATCATCTACACCAAGATACACACAATTTTTTGTCTCTTCAATCTTTACTAATAATTAATACTAATAATAATATCTTTGGCTAATAATTTTTGCTGTTTTCCTTTTTTGTCTCCAGAGCAGAAATTCAGCCTTCTGCTAAGTTCAATCTTGGATTGCTATAAAAATCTATAAATCAATTCATTAATAACTAAGTTATAAATAAAGTTAATGTATATACTTAAAGTTGTCCACTGTTGTACGCAAACTAAATATGAACAATATCTAGTAATATTAAATTAAAAAATAATAAAATCAAGAATAATGTCCCTCTGCTTCAAAAAGATGGAATATATACAGAGTTGTTTCCATTTAAATGATGATTTAAATCAGACAAATGAAAATAATGATTTAAATTGAGTTTTTTTATTTTAACTTTTTTTAATGATTATTTATTGATTTAATCTCATAATTAAATCAATTATTATAGACTAGTCATTGGTCTTAAAAAAAATGTAAATTCAATATAGCATCGCTTTTTGTACACTGTTTTAATGTTAGTAGATCGCATTTCATCAAACACTGAAATAATCAAACAAAAGAAACATAGTTAAAATGTAAAACATCAGCTTCTAACAACTACAATGCCACTGTGGTAGTCATATATAAAATTTTATTTCTAATGGCACTAGTCACACAAGCGATGTATACTTTGTAGGTATTAATACATTTATGAACTATTTTTGTGTAAGCTCTTAAAGTTATTCTTTATTCATTACTTATTACTGATAACGTTTCAAATGTTTGATTTATGTAATAAAAAAGATATTTTAAATACCTTTTTTATAAATAAATCAAAAATTTGAAATGTCAATAAAGTAAAAATGTAAAAATGAAATGTAAGTTTAAAAAAAATAAATAATAATAGCTATAAGATCTTACAAAAAACAATTTGATTATTGCCTTTATTTTTACATAGATAACTTAGATTGTAGTAAATGGTATAACCCAGACAGCAAGCTTACATTGGACCAACGTTGGGCCAATGCATGATGATGCATTGGCCCAACGTTAAAAGTTGATGTTGGCCCAATGCAGGTTTGATCATTGGTAAGGTATTGGCCCAACGTTGTGTAGAACATTAGCCCAATGTTGTATACAACGTTTATCCAACATTGGCCCAACGTTGTTTATAACGTTAGGCCAATGTTTTATACAAAATTGGACCAATGTTGTATACAACATTGGACCAATATTGTATACAACAATATATTGGCCTAACGTTTATATTGGGCCTATGTTGTATACAACAAGATATTGGCCTAACGTTTTATGCAAAATTAGATCGTTGTTACAAATAAGATGATTTGCATCGCTACATTGAAAATTTAAAGAGAAAAAAAAAAAGTATGATACAAGTATAAAAATTTATTTATTTAACATAATTTCTCAGTTATAAATACATATTGCAAACACCAAACTTAAAACACTGAGTTTTAAATAAAAAATTTACTTTAAAATTTATAGAGTAGTTTCGATATTGGCTGAGCTACTTATTATTGAATAGTGTTTAGCTTATGATATTTGATGCCCACGATTATTATATTTTCTTCAGCTATCTCTATCACATGTCTGCAAAAGCCATGCTTATTTGACTTCACAGTTTCTGCAAAAAAAATTATTTGTTTGTTTAATTATGCACCAAAGAAACATAACAAATTGAAAGTAATTCTGTAATGCAAAACTGAAACTGAAGAATTAAACTTTTCTAAACTACTTACCAATAGCAACATATGCAATCAACATTTTTCCTATTCCAATTTTTTGTCCTCTCCCAGCATAGTTTAATTTTACAGCTAGGCCAGTTTATTAGTAAATAACATATACAACATATACAACATAATCTCCTTCGTCTTTAACTCCAACTTGTGACAAATAATTGACCTGAAAAAACACACAATCTGGCAATAATTAAAGTAACTTTTGTTTAGATTTAAATTAATATAAAATGTCATTTACAAAAAATCTTCAAAAAGTGTTTTATTTAAAGTATATAAATTGTACTGAGATATCATACAAAATGCATAAACAGATCATAAAAAAATATTTACTATTTACTTAAGTATTTTCGTGTCTTTTTTTTCAAGAGTACTTGAATTCTTTACTGCTTTTAATGGCAATGACACTCTTTCAGGCAATACAATAATTAGCATACCTTTGTTACTCAAATTTTTATAACTGAATTTGATGTGTTTTGTAGTTCACCAAGTTGCACTTTAACGCTTGCCCTATGTGTCAATAATACCAGAATATCTTTCAAGGATACAACTTTATCTTGAAACAATAAAGTTAATTATATTATTATGAAACTATACAACTAATTACATATTATATTTAGAATTTATGAAAGTAAATACAACAATCACTAATAAAACAAATAAAGTTAAGGACGAAAAGGCACATTTTTAATGATAAAAATATATACTTGCTAATGGATTCATAATATTTTAATGAATTACAAAATTTGCAGGTGTGTATTCAATTTCTGGCACTGACACAAAACAATTCTCGTTAATGTTTAAGATACAGATTGCACTGTCAAATAAAAAAATTCATATTAAAATAATATTTCTCCTACAGGATTTGTAGCCAACTATTTATATAAAATTCAATGACTTTTCCGAAAAATCCGATAAATTTCCCTGACCATTTTTAAAAATGGTTTTTACAAAATGTTTAAAATTACTATCTACTGTAATGGAAATTCTAAGATTGTATATGCTTTGAATGACAAAAATTATAAAACTTAGCTATTAGTTGAGTTGGATATTAGTATAAAGCTTACTACACATGTTAGTATGAATCTTATTATTAAGGATGGCTAAGAATAAACACTAAGAAAAAAATATAGGTTTCAGAGAATATAAATGGGTTGCACCAAAAAAAATATAGCTTAATTGAGTATTTTGAAAATGTGACATGTCACAAAATTAAAATTTTACAAGAGAATGAAAAAAATTTCTCCTGTAAAAAATTGTATTTTTAGTTTATCTAAAAATTGTTTCTTTCATCTAAAAAAAATCTTTATTTTTTCTAAAAAAATCTTTATTTTTTCTAAAAAAATTCTTTATTTTATCTTATAATTTTATCTTTTCTTAAAAAAAATATTCTTTTCAAATAACCTCACTTTTAAAAAAAGTGTGACTTATCACGCTTTCAAAATACAGCATTCAATTGTGAAACGAGTAGCTTCTTAACTAGAATTACTGATTTTTTCATGACTATCTAAAGAAATCATTCCCAGACTTTTTCAGGTTTTCCACAACTTTAGCCAATAATAACAAATTTTCCAGATTTTCAAGGTACAGTACTGACCTTGTCCAATGTTTGTAAATAATTTTTTTTACATATTTTAGTTCTGAACTTTATTAATAAAATTTTTAAAAATAATATCATCTATAAAAATATTGTTTTACCATCGTCTATTAAATAAATTTAAATAAACGTTTATATAATGAATAATAATGAACTACCAGCAACTATTAAAACTTTAAACTGATATGAATACTCTGATGTTTTTTTTCAACAGTTGATTTTAAAGTTGGTGACACGAACTTTAAAAATCCACCAAAAAATTTTTGTTACGTTCATAAACTTAATTGTTCTCAAAACGACTAAAAAACCTGGCCAGTTTTTCGTAACTAAATATAATTTCAGTGGTCAGAATTCGAGACCAAGCCTGTGGTATAAACTTTGATATGTTGATTATTATACAATAAAATGTTAATTAACACTATGACCTTTTGACCGTAATATATAAAAAAGTCTTTTAAATTGTAAAAGTTAAAGCTATGAAAAAAGATTTTCAATCATCAGACATAAAGACTTTTATATAAAAACTTACCATTTAATAAAATTTGTTCATTCAACTTCTCAGAGCAAACATTGAACTTCTGTAAAGAGTTTAGAGTCACAGGTAAATCCCAAAGTTTGATAATATTTTTTGTTTCATTATAAGAAATTGAGCATAAATCATCTAGACCAAGATATACACAATTTTTTGTCTCTTTATTCTTTTTTTTGGCTGATCATTTTTGCTGTCTTCCTTTTTTGTCTCCAGAGCAAAAGCAAAAAAATGGGTCAATGTTGTATACAACATTGGCCTAACGTTATATACAACGTTGGGCCAATGTTGGGTAAACGTTGTATACAACATTGGGCCAACATTAGGCATTGGGCCAACATCAACTTTCAACGTTGGGCCAATGCATCATCATGCATTGGCCCAACGTTGGTCCAATGTAAGCTTGCTGTCTGGGATATTTATTAACCTTCTAAAAGGTTCTTAATAGGAAATAAACTTCAAGAGGTTCTCGTGACTTAATGTTTAATTTTTTTTTCAATAATAAAATACTCATTAAAATTTAAATATTGTACTTCCCAGACAGCAAGCTTACATTGGCCCAATGTAAGTTTTAACATTGGCAAGTTTATTCCGTTGGCCAACATTTAGCCAATGTTTTTTTTCGGCGTATTTTTTTCAATTCTGCAAATCTTTTTTTTTGCAAATATCATACTATATTCGGCCAACATTTAGCCAATATTTTTTTTTCGGCGTAATATTGCAATTCTACAAATCGGTTTTTTGCAATTATCGTACTACGTTGGGCCAATATTTGGCCAATGTAGTTTAGACTTAATATTTTGCCGTTTTTACATTTATACCTTAGCCAATATTTGGCCAATGTAGTTTCGGATTAGTATACACTTTTAAATTGTTTCGAAACATTTTTTAAAAATGGTATCGTTTGACAGATTAAAAAAAGGTTTTGATACATCTTTCCATTTATTTAAATTATAAAAATAAAAAAAGAAGCTATATTTATTGATCTTCTAAGAATCTTAAAAGGTTTCTTATGAGAAATAAACTTCAAGAGATTCTTGTGACTTAATGTTTTGTTTTTTTAATTAATGAAATATTAGTTAACATTTAAATAATACAATTAAAACATTTTTTACTACAATCTAAATTATTAATCTAATAATAAAGGCAATAATTAAATTGTTTTTGTGTAAGATCTTAAAGTTATTTATTTTTATTTTTATTGCTGTATGAGCATTTCAAATGTTTCATTTATTTAATAATCTTTATTAAATAAATGAAACATTTCAAATGTTCGATTTATTTGATAAAGAAGACATTTTAAATGTCTTCTTTATTAAATAAATCAAACAATAATAATAATCAAAAAATAATCTTATTTTTTTTACATTTATATAATGTAAAAAAAATAAGATAGCTTATTTTTTTTACATTTATAATTTAAAAAAATGGATAGATAATACCAAAAACTTTTTTAGTTCTGTAAAACGATGACATTTTTTAAAAATGTTTTGCAACAAGTTTAAAAATATACTAATCCGCAAATACATTGGCCGAATATTGGCTACGGCATTAGTGTAAGAACAGATTTTTATAGCAAAATATCAAGCCGATACTACACTGGCCCAATATTGGCCCAACATAGTGCGATATTTGCAAAAACTCGATATGTAGAATTGAAATATTACGCCCAATTATCAATTATCAAAATTAAATCAAAAAGCAACTATTGAAGATCCTTGTAAAATTTGAAGGAATGGCTCGCCGTTTTAAAAGTTAAAGCTTTTTTATTCACACCTTTTTCTCTTATAGAAGCAATTGCTCAAATTAAAAGATTTTGCGCAAAAAAAAAAGCGATTGATCCATATTTTTATTCACGTAGTTTAACAAATTAGTCAAGAAACTCAAAGTAAAAACAATTGATCATTTTTATTCACTCGGCCTTATAACTCGGGTATACTGGCTGCCTCGAATTCTGTGTCATATACTCGCAAACAAGTTAGACCAACACAATTAAATTCAGAATAAATATATTATATGATAGGTATCATAACATAAACCCAACATTTTTTTAAAGTGTTTTATGATTTGAAGCTTGAAGTTTTTTTTAAAAAAAAAAAAAATTTTTAAAACTTTTTTTAAAGTATAATATCTTTATACATGTTATGTATACAATAGAACTTCAAAAATATATTATTTTGGGAAAAAATTAAAATAAGTAACTTAAACCCACGCACTGCACTTTTTTAAAGGTTTTAATTTGAAGTTATTTTTCCTACTTCAACCATACTTTTTATAAAGTATGGTTGAAGTAGGAATGACATGAATTGTAAACAGTTGAAAACGAATTAAAAACCGCATCTTTGACCATTTTACTAAATATTTAAAACCTTTAAAAAGTAATCGGTTAAACACTTTATGTGACTATATCTTTTGAGCGTCAAAATATATTTTGATAAATTTTAACATTAAAGATTTAATTCAATATAAAAATTATTTTCTCTGAACCTGGAGACACAGGGACAATTTTCAAAGAGTTTTCATGTCCTTGTGATCTGATTTTTTGCAAAAAATTAAGTAATATTCATTAAAATTATCATTTTAATAAATATTACCGAAATATTAGTCGCAATTATCTTCTTGTCAAAAATCTATTAGAAATAAAATAATATAGTATAAGTAGGTCTGCAATAACAAACTCATACAATATAAATACCGCAAACAGTATTTTTAATTTTATAGTATTTTTAAAAAAAAGATATTTTAAGTTTTCAATTAAAATATTCTCTTGAAAAATTTTCTAACCATCTCGTTTATCTGTATTCAGCAACCATCCCAGTTGATACAGACGTAAAAATGACGTCTTTTAAACGTCTTATACATACTTTGGATATATATATATATATATATATTATATATATATATATATATATATATATATATATATATATATATATAATATAGTAACAGGATGAATAAGAGATTTGTAGAAATAGGGATTGGAATTAGGAGAGAGAAAATGGCGAGCACAAAAAGGAGAAGCAACCTTAGAATAGGCTAATTTAGCAATCGATTGTATATATGATTTATATGAAAGGTAAGTTGTAAACAATAATCCAAGACAAGGATAAGAGTAAGAGGGTTGCCATTCATTAATATAAGAGTGTCGCCAGTATTGCGATAGTTGTTTGTAGTAAATAAACGAGTTTTGTTGGAGTAAAGTTTACAAACTCAACTCAGCCGGAATACCTCGTATTGTAAATGTGCAGCCGTGGCGCAGTCGTTAGAGCGCTTGCTTTATAAGCAAGAGATCCAGGTTCGAAACAAGCCTTGGACATATTTAGCGTGAACTTCCTGGTTAAATGCACTTCCGCGGTGCTCTGTGACAAGACCGTTAGATCTTCTTGGGGCACCTAAATAATAAATAAAAATAAATAAATGAGCAGATTATTTTTTTACGAATTATATACCGCTTTTGATACCAGAAAATGCGCATCTAGTTTTATGTTTTAAAATCGAGTTCAATATCACGTATTAATCAAAAATAGGTACATTCATGCCCGGTTTTGTTTAAATATAAACATTTTAGAAAAAAACTAAAACTATGGTTTAGAGTACATGCATGCACTAAAATTATAGGTAACGAATTGTCATAAAACAATATTATTTTGGCACAAAATCTTTTGGTCAGAAACTTTAAATTTTACTAAGTCAATCAAAAAATATGAAAACAGAAAAAGTTACCCTAAACAATTTTACGTAAACACAACGCAATTGTAAAACGTTTTAGTAGTCAGACGCAATTGTAAAACGCTTTAGTGAACAGGCTGTTGACACAGCTGTAAACTATATCAGTGAGATGAAACTTGATTTAAAACAAAAATATTTGAACTGTTAAACTGCGCGCAATTTTATTTTGCATTGTTTTATCACTTTTGAAAAAGTCGACTTTTGTTATTTGTGTTTTGATTTGTAAACACCTGAAAACAATTTAGTTAAAAGTTTTTATGAGTATTATTATAATTCGTCGTATATACTTTTTCCTTTTAAGGTTTTAAAATACAATTTTCTCATTTAAAGCTATATATATATATATATATATATATATATATATATATATATATATATATATATATATATATACAGTACTGGACAAAAGTGTCAGACCAAGGGTTGAAAAAGACTAAAAACTGATTTTAACCATAAAATTTTATTCAATGAACAACCATGTCAATTTTTTCCAATATAATTCATTTTACTAGGAATAAGTACAACATACTTTATGAAATATAACATAAAATGTCCATGTCATGTCAGTATTTTATGGGCATTCCTTTAGCCGCTAGCACAGCAGTAATTCTCCTGGGCATAGAATTGATCAAATTTTCACAATAAGCAGGAGTGATTTCATTGGACCAAACCTACATTATCTTTTTTTTTTAATCATCATATGATGATTGCTTTAAAGCGGCTATTTTTTCCTTTAACAGATGCCAGCAATTCTCTATTGGATTAAGTAAGGCGAGGATCCCGGCCAAGGAGAAAGTACCAAAAATATTTTTCTCAGCAAGCCATTTAGTAATCACCTTTGCCCGGTGACATGGTGCACTATCATGCTGGAAGATTGTACAACCAGAAGGAGGCAGCCACTGAAGCAAATTGCTTTTCAAAGTTTTCAGATATTCATTGGCATTAATAGTTGTTTTAGGAGGTATGAACCAAATACCTGCTTGTCCTCTAGTTGAAATTGAAGCCAAGACCATGATTGATTGGCCCTGTTTAACATTGCATTTGGTGTACTTGGGATTCAGAGAATAGTCTTTGTCTGATAGTTCTTGAGGAAACAGTAACAGAGGATGGCAAGTTGTGTTGTATTACTGTGGATGATGACATTGGAGAATTAGTACAAGTGCGATGAATCAAGCGGTCAGTCTGCATAGAGGTACATTTTGGTCTACCAGATCTTTTTCGGGAAGTTAAGCTGCCAGTCTGCTGCAATCGAGTTATTGTGTTATGAACTGCAGTTTTAGAAACAGACAAACGTTTAGCAATGCTTCTCTCGGTATATCCCTCCTCTTTTAAAATACTGATCTGTGTTCGAACTGACATTATGCGTAAACTGAAGTTATGCGTGCAACATACTACATATATGACAATTGTATTACTCATCAGTTTTCCTCACATCATCAGTGATGCTGACATTAAATTGTTGTGTTCTGAATTATGTTGAATTACTAATATGATTTATATTAAAAAAAATTGACATGGTTGTTCATTGAATAAAATTTTATGGTTAAAATCAGTTTTTAGTCTTTTTTAACCCTTGGTCTCAGACCAATATATATATATATATATATATATATATATATATATATATATATAATATATATATATATATATATATATATATATATATATATATATATATATATACATATATATATATATATAAATATATATATATATATATATATATATATATATATGTATATATATATATATATATATATATATATATATATATATATATATATATATATATATATATATATATATATATATATATATATAATATATATATATATATATATATATATGAATCGGTGAATATTAAAAGGGTTGAAGTCCAATAATGTAAACTTTCGGGAAACTAAAAAAAAAAATGCCTTTTTCCATTTAGTAAATTTTTGTTAATGTTTTTCACCTTTAAAAAAAATTATTAAACCATTAACAAAAATTTATTACAGAGGAGAATGCAGTTTTTTTTAAGTTTCCCAAAAGTTTACATAATTGGACTTCCGCTTTTTTAACATCCACCGATTTATATATAAGTGCAGTTTGCACTGATAATATACGTATTAATGCTTTAGCCGAAATATTTATTGTTATGTTAAAGTATTATTACATATATCATAATAAACTTGATCTTATCACATATAATATATTCGATAAAATTTATATCTCCAGTACTGGAGATTTATTTTCACATATAATACGTGTGATAAGAAATTTATTTCTAGTACTGCTTGCCCTGATATGTTGTCATTAAAAAAATCTTCAGGTAACAGTTCATCTAATAAACTGTTACCTAAAGATCTTTCGTCACCGGAAAACAACCCAGAGCGACGAATCTTACAAATATCAATAAGATTTTCTAATAAGGTTCTTAGTAAGATTAGTAAGACTTGCAAGATGTGCAAGAAAACTTTCAAGATCTTTTAAGATTTGAAAGTTTTTGTGCGATTTACTAATAAAATTTTTAAGAAATGTAAGATCTTATTAAGATTTGTAAGTTTTTGTGCGGTTTCTTATTAGGATTTGTAAGAAATGTAAGATCTTAATAAGATTAGTAAAATTTATCTTATTTTTTCAGTGAGATTTCCAAGTTATAGTATGAATTCTTAGTAAGAGTTGAGAGATCTTATAAGAGTATTTGGTATTTATTCCAATTCTACTAAATTCCAAGCATATTTTTGTGTAGACAATGCTAACAAATAAAACAATTAAGTACTTTCATTACTTTTGTCTCGAAACAAATTCATAATTAATAATACAACAGTGTTCATGTTAATAGTATAAGTAACACTTATAATATATATACAACAAAACAATTATGCAAGACTATTCCATATTGCAATGACACTTAAAATGAGAAAATTGTATTTTAAAACCTTAAAAGGAAAAAGTATATACAACGAATTATAATAATACTCATAAAAACTTTTAACTAAATTTTTTCAGGTGCTTACAAATCAAAACACAAATAACGAAAGTCAACTTTTTCATAAGTGATAAAACAATACAATATAAAACTGCGCTCAGTTTAACTGTTCAAATATTTCTGTTTTAAATCAAGTTCCATTTCACTGATATCGTTTACAGCTGTGTCAACAGCCTGTTCACTAAAAGGTTTTACAAGTGCGTCTGACCACTAAAGCATTTTACAATTGCGTTGTGTTTACATAAAATTATTTAGGGTGACTTTTCTGTTTTAATATTTTTGGATTGACTTAATAAAACTATAAACTTTCTATACCAAGAAATTTTGTGCCAAATTAATATTGTTTTATGACAATTCTGTACCTACAATGATGCATAGATCAACACCCTCCTGAATCTATAGTTCAATGAAAAAAAATTATTATTATTATTTTTAATTAACTGCTATCAATTTTTAAGTTAATTTAAAAAAATTAATATAAGATGTTATTACTCAGGACATAACACAACACTATAACAGGCTCTTTTGCATTGTTGAAGACAGGAAAAACAACAATTTTATATATTTGTGCACCCAGTGGTACTAATTTGTGTTTATCCTTCTTTTTATCGTGAAGTGGTGATTAACTTTAATACAAAAAGAAAGTATTATGCATAACTGAGATGTTTGAATATGAATATGTACAGAATTTCAACTAACTGTCATATATAGCATATATAAAACTAAATTCATCAAACAAAAAATGCAATTTTTACTAATATTGAAAACATGAACTAATGTGGGCTTTGTCTTGTAGTCTTCAAATAAATATAATATTTAATAACTAACAACTATTTATATTCTTCTTCCAGTGTTTCAGGGTATGTAAGATGTTGTTTTGCTTAAGCAAACAAAATAAATGTAATACAGGGTGTCTGCCAATATTTAAAGATGGATTTCCCTAACTTTTTTCTATTCTCAACGTGTTTTTGCTGACTTAATTTAAAGCATCAAAAGCTCATCTTTAGAGAAAATCAACTTAAATTCGTTTAGGAAAATGCTTTAGTGCAAATATATATAAGTATAATTACAAGCAGCATCCAAATTATCAATTGAAAGCCATAAAAATAATCTGACTAAATTTTTACATTACGTTTATGATTCAAAACCGAAATAGGTCATGTACATTTGCCACAAAGCCATATTCCCTGATTATTTTAAAATACAAATCAATTTACCTGATTATTGCCTAGTCTTTTGCAGAAATCTAAATTCCCTTTGATTTGGACCGACACCCTGTAATAACTTCCACTTAATCTTTATACATATTATAAAATGAAACATTGCATTATTTTTTAAAATATAGAAACTAATTAATTTAAATTGATTGCACCTTTGTTATGGTTTATCGCAATTATAGGGGTATGTACTTTTCCTTAAACAACAAAAATTCAATATAATAAATAAATCTTTGCCATAGTCTGTATAATATCATTATTAGGAATGCATGTATTACATATTATTCTAAAATATTAAATCTAAACATTTTAAATCAAACACTTTTATTAAAGAACTTGTTTTTGCAAGCTCATTAACAAGATTTGCCATAATTAGTTGATTATGCAACAAACAACATAATTGAATTTTTGTTTTCGCAACCATTAACAAGTTTTTGTTCTGTGTTCATCATGTTCGTCATATTCTGAAAAAATATCAAATATAACCAAAAAATGCATTATATTAGGCAAACTATATATATATATATATATATATATATATAAATATATATATATATATATATATATATATATATATATATATATATATATATATAATATATATATATATATATATATATATATATATATATAGCATTAGGAAATATTTGAGTATATATATATATATATATATATATATATATATATATATATATATATATGTATATATATATATATATATATATATATATATATATATATATATATATATATATATATATAAATATAAATATATATTTATATGTATATGTATATATATATATATATATATATATATATATATATATATATATATATATATATATATATATATATATATATATATATATATATATATATATATATATATATATATATATATATTTTTTTTTTTTTTTTTTATTTCAGCGTGTATAAATTATCGAAAGAAAATGTTAAAGAGTTAGTTTTACATTTATATTTAAAACAAAGAATATTAAAAACATTCATCAAAAACAAATTAAGAATTTTCATTTCAAATAAAAGAGGCTTGGCATGAATAAATCTGTTTTTAAAATTATTAAGACGAGCAACATGCTTCTGTTAACGATAAAGAGACTCCAGTTCACATTATTGGCATTGTACCAAACAATATTTGCATAGTTTAAATGACAATGGATAAAAGAGAAATATAATTTAAATAGACTACGTTTATTTAACACACCTTTAGCTTTATATTTATATATATATATATATATATATATATATATATATATATATATATATATATATATATATATATATATATATATATATATATATATATATATATATATATATATATATATATATATATATATATTATATATATATATATATATATATATATATATATATATATATATATATATATATATATATATATATATATATATATATATATATATATATATATATATATATATATATGTATATATATGTATATATATATATATATATATATATTTATATTTATATATACATATATATATATATATATATATATATATATATATATATATATATATATATATATATAACATAGGGTTTAATGTTTCTATATAAGGGCAAAATTATAATGTTAGGTATGTAAAATACATATATAAGGTGCATTTATAAAGTGGCTGCAATGTTATTAGAAAATCGTAAACAAGTAGTACCATTTGATCTATCATGCTCTTCATTTGAGTCAATAAGTTGTGAAATTCCACAAGGATCAATACTTGAACCTTTACTGTTTTTAATTTATATTAGTTATATTTATTTGTCATCAAAAATACTTAATTATACTATTTTTGCTGACGACACTAATGTTTTTCTTTTGTGAATCAAGTTTAAAAAATATTTTTTGTCATGTAAACACAGAACTAACATATCTCAATGAGTGGTGTACAGCAAATAAACTTTCTTTAGAATCCACAACGGACTCTAACAATTAAATCAAAAGGCAGATAAGAGAGGATAATATATTTCAATAATAAACAAAACTACAGCGGTGGCCAAAAATTAAAGACCACTCATTTTTTAGTTGGTTTCTTAATCTGTAAATCAAAATTAAGAAGATTCTAATTGACATATTAAATTTTTTTTTTAATATCTTGTTAATTAAAACATACGGATTAAAATGGTATAATTTTTTTAATCTAATTCTAATTAAATAGCGTTTAATTTATTAAAAAACTGATAAGTACTTATAAATCTTCTTTAAATAAATTGGACAAAATTTAACAACCACTTTTAAATCTTTAATTTGCACTTATTAAAAATAATAATCGATTATTTTTTTTAACTGTCTTAATTGCTTATTATGTTGACTATAAAATAAAATGTCGAAACCTGAGTTTCGATATCAAATAAACAATTTTTTTTTTGAATTGCGATAAGGATATAAAAATATTGCAAAAATGCGTGCAAAGATCGAAGAAAACGACAGATACGCGGCTCTTGTATTAAAAGAAGAAGGCTATAGCATCAGACAAATAGCAGAAAAGCTTGGAAGGTCTCACTCTTGGATTATTAACATAATTCAACGATACAAAGAGACCGGGTCAATTAATAATCGTTATAGGACTGGACGCAATAAAATTTCAAATGACCGTGATATTCGCTCGTTAGTGAGATTAATGAAATAAAACAGACAAGCATCATCTACAGACTTGTCTATGAAATGGACAATGTTAAATGGTCTGAAAGCAAGCCCTAGAGCTGTGCGAAGGGTTCCCCACAATTTAAATTATTTATGGCGCCCTGCTGCAAAAAAACTACGTTTAAATAAAAAACAAAAATTCGCCAGGAAAGGGTGGTGTAAACTACATAAAAATTGGTCAACAGATCAGTGGAGCCGTGTGGTCTTTAGTGACGAAATGAACGTTGAGGTAGACAACAGAAAAGGTTGCGTAATGTTGTGTAGACTTCCAAGCGAGCGGTTCGATGAATCATACATTTTAAAACGAACAAAACAAGGCAGTGGTTCAATAGGAATTTGGGCCTGTATGAGTGCCTGTGGAGTTGGTGTTTTTCATTTATTCGATGGTAGACTTAACTAAGAAAGGTACATCGAAATTTTGGAAAACTCGCTTATTCCTAGCGTTGATTTATGGCAGTTGCAAGATGGATTTATTTTCCAGCAAGATAATGCGCTATGTCTTAAAGCGCATGTTGTTAGCGATTGGTTCAATTCTAATAAAATTTAAGTACTTCCATGGCCTACCAATAGTCCAGACCTAAATCCATAAGAGAATTTATGGTCGTGGCTTGATCACAAGCTTGGTAAAGAACAACTTTACAATTTGGAAGATTTGAAATCTTCTATCTCTTATCATTTGAATAATGTGCCAGATGAAGCAATCAAAACTTTAATGAATTCAATGCCAGAACGAGTACAAGAGTGCTAGAAAACAAATGGAGGAACAACACGTTTCTAAATTATTTTATTATTGTTTTTTGAAATATTTTTGAAACTGTTCTTAAAATTTTGTCCAATTTTTTTTTCCATTTATATTTTTTAATAGTCAGTTTTTTTAAATTTCTTAACATTATTTTGTAAAAAAATTATAAATTCTTTTATAATAAATATAAAATACAATAAAATTCTTTCTAAAAATGTTTTACTTTTTTGATATCTTTTTCCAAAATAAAATTATACAAGGTTAAAAATAAATTTTGAATAAAAAATGAGTGGTCTTTAATTTTTGGCCACCGCTGTAGAACGCCATTATGCTTTCTAGAAACTTAGCAAGATAAGAAAAAACGTGCTCGCGCGTCTAAAAATGGTTACTAGGACCCAGTCCTTTTAAACTAGTTTTTACACCCCCCATCTTAGAGATGGCCTCTCTAACAATTGCGTAGTTTCATCTATATCAACCGTTTCTCCCATAAATCGGCTGGAGGTACAATTCTCGGTTGAAGTTCCAGGGGAACTAATCGCTTTACATCACGTTTTAAATTTATAGCATTACCATCTTTTCCAATTACGCGTAGCACAGCCCCTCGAACCTTCCCATTGCTTCCTGTAATTTTTTCGATAACAACACCCTTTTTCCAACAGCTTTAAGGCAATTTATCTTCGTCTTTAATCAAAACTAAATCATTTACCTGAATATTGTTTATATCATCGTATTTCCGACGATTGTAATCGTGGTGTTCTCGTAGTTCATTTAAGTATTCCTTGTAAAATCTTGCTGAATTGAGGTCTTTAAATTTTCAAATTGCTCCTGTGCACTGATTTTAACTGAGTCTGGATCTTCTGTATTAACTGATCCAACTTGACCAAGAAGCTTTGTGCCGAAAGTTAAATGAGATGGAGTCAATGGCTCCACATCGTATCCGTCAGACACATAGCACAAAGGTTGGCTGTTTAGAATCATTTCTACTTCTGCTAACTCTGCATTCAGTTGATCAAATGTCAGCCAGGCTTTCCCCAGTGTTTTCCTTAACGCTCCTTTAACCATACGTATTAATCTCTTATAAAACTCTCCCCACCATGTCCATGTAAACTTATTTTACCGCTTTCCCCATGCATGAGGAAAGCGGTAAAATAAATTTACAATTAATAAATTTGGACATAAAAATCTAGATAGTTCCTTTGATTTGAACGAAGAAAAATTATCGTTAATAAACATTTTTACATAAGCCCTTCTTGCAAAAAATCGTTTTAGTGCACAAATAACTGAAGGAACATCCATTCTTGGGGTCAATTCTAGGTGTACATATATATCTTTAATGAAAAATGGTCCAGCAAAGTCAACTCCTGCATTGGCAAAAGCAAAATCAATGTTTACACGGTACTCTGGAAGAACAGGTGGTTCAGGACCTTTAAAGGTTTTACCTTGTACTTTTTTGCACGCAATGCAACGCTTTAAAATTTCATTTAAGGTACTGTTAATTCCAGCATGGCCTGTTTTTTCATGTGCTCTTAATATTAATAATTTTGTAAACATTGAATATGTCTGAATATAGATTGGATGCTTGATATCAAGTTCAACAAGTACATTAGGAAAACGTTTATTTAATCGTAAAACACCATCGCTATCGTATTTTAAATTCAAGGATTGACAAATATCTGAAAACGTGTTGAGCTTTTTAGCAATTAATTGTTCAGTTTTTACGCACATAAGCTCAGCATGCAATAACTCTTCTGTTCTAATAGAACCTGTAAATTTATGTTTCCTTTTCTTGATTCGATATGAGAAATTATTTATAATTCGCATTACGTTATTAATAAAAGCTTGTTAATTGAACTGTAATCTTCTATTGTTTCAATTGATACACTCTTCACCACAATGATATCTTCCAGCATACTAAAAACAGTATCAACTTCAGATTGATGAAACATATTTTTGACATCAACAATTCCATTTAAGTTAAGCTTTTGTTTTTTCAGTTCTGAATCGATAGAAATGTTTGTAAACTCATCCTCGCAATTGCATTTTGTAGTCCATTCCCCGCGATCCTTTCTTAAGAATTCAGGTCCATTCCAATAATCTTTATTTTTAAGCATTGATTTCAAACTATTTTCTCTAGTTGGAATATCTGCGGGGCTTACAGTTCCAGAAACAAAATGTCAAACATCAATATTAGATAAACTTCGCATTGAATTAAAACGGTATTTTGCCCAACATTTCCGTTCCTTATTTACTTCATGAATCCAGGATAAACAAATTTTTGAATCATTCCAATAGTAAACCTTTTCAATATGAAGAACAATATTATTTGCATTTTTTACAGAACTTATCAGTTTACTTAACATTAAACAACCTAAGAGTTCAAGTCTTGGAACAATTTGTCTTTTAAGTGTAGCAACCTTCGCTTTTGCTGTAAGTTTACAACAACCATATCATAAGCTTCAATTCTTAAATAACATAATGCTGTATAGGCTTGTGTTGAGCTGTCACAAAACCCATGAATTTGAACAGATTTTATTTGTCTAGTCACATCAAATAATGCACATCTTGGGATATTTAAATTACCAATTTCTTTAAGTTCATTTAACCATCTATACAACTGAGTCCATACATCATCAAGAAAGGGTTCATCCTAATCCATCTTTTCTGTACATATTTGCTAAAACATCATTTTAGATTGAATAGTGATTGGAATCAACAGTCCAAGAGGATCATATATTTTTGAGCTAATACTTAATAATGACTGTTTAGTTCGAGGCAATTTCCATGCTTTGTCCACTAATTCATTAAAACAAAAATTAAAATTATCTAACTTTGTATCCCAACTTAGTCCTGACACCTTTTGATTTTGCATATTGTTAGTTTGATTAGTACAAGACTTTATAAGATTCATTAATTCTTCTGAGTTAGATGTCCACTTTCCCAATTCGAATCCACTATCCTTCATCACTTTGTGAGCTCTTTTAAAAAGTTAAAAGGCATCAGCAACATTATCAAATCCAGTTTTAGTATCGTCAACATACAATCACAAAGAAACTGTAAAATAAAACTCTAAAATTCTTTAACATAGTTTTTTAAATATATAAAATAACAATAATAAGCAGAGACCAGAATAAAGATAAGCAGATACCAGATAAGCAGAGATAATCAATAAGCAGAGACCAGAATAAAGACAGTCATTTAGTGGGGGATGTTTGCCATATTTTGAAGATGCATCAAACACTATCCTCACTTTCGTTGTTTCTTTATCTAAACGCATAACAGCAGAATGTGGCATGTAATGAATTCTATCTGACAACCTTGTGTCTGTAACCTTCTGAATGATTCCATCATTTAGGTATTGATTAATATTATAATTATACTCATGTCATCCTTGTCAAGTCGTTATTTTAAGGAATCAAGTCTTTTTTCACTATATGAATAGTTATCTGGAGGATTTTCATGAAACGGTTTAAACATATCTTTCTCCATCGTGGTAAACTTTGTTTTGAAACTTGTAATAAACTTCATGTTCTTCAACTCCTAAACTTTCAATTTCCTACAACTTTGTTAAATTCGATTTCAAACTATCATTGTCAATCTGTAAGGCAATCATTTGCATCACATGTGTAGAATAATAATTTGATGTTATGCAGCTTCTTTTAACAGTCATGCTTGTTGGGCCACAAATAACCCATCCCAAATTACTTTCTAAGGCAACTGGTCCATTTAAGTCTTTCCTGATTATACGACCTGTCATAAATTTATAATAATTATCCATTCAAACTAAAATGTCAATTTCAAGATTGTTTCCAGCTAAATCATTTTCTGCTAATTGTAAGTTTTTAAAGTAAGGATAAGTTTTTAATGTCAATTTCAAATCTTGATTTTGTAACGGGGAACAAAGGAAAAATAAACAAAGAGCTTTAATATAATTATAACCAGATTTTGTTTTTCCACGCACACAAATATGCATAACATTTAATGTTTACAAAACTCCTTGATCTGAAGCAAATCTTTTCATTAAAACTGTTTCTTGTCGTAATACTTTAAAATTTAATTTCTTTCTTAATGTTTTAGTACAATATGTTCTCTGACTACAACAATCAAATAAATATTTTGAAAGTACTTCTTTTTTATCATTCATATTCTTAGTTAAAGCAGTTGCTGTTTGTTACAAAATTGTTGTTTGTGAATAATTGACGTGATTATTAATAGTTTCTTTTGGCTTGGAGTCATTAAGATATTCTTTCTTTCTTTTATATTTACTGGAGGAGTTACACATGCTAACATTATGGTTTCCGTTACATTTCACATATTTACATGATACCTTGCAATTTTTAAAAATATGTCCTCTTTCCATAAGAATGAATCAGCATCCTTGTTTTCTAAGCATATATTTCCTAATTTCTCTATCAGTGACGCTCAGACATTTATTAGAAAAATAATTCTTGTTACTAAAAATCAATTTCTTCACTATCTGATATTCCTCCAACTGCAGCACAACGTTCACAAGCACAAAGTTTTTCATTAAAAATTTCAATAAGTTCATTTAGGTTCCAATTTTCAAGCTTAAATTTTCTTGAGATAATAATTTTTAAATTTGTAGGAATTCGATTAAATAAAATGTTTATTAACATTGATCCATAGGTTGCAGTTTCCACTCCAAGGTCATTAAAGTTTCTGACACTAGTTTAAAGTTTATCGTACATCATTCGTGTTTAACCGAGTCACCTACTAATTTAACATTTGGTAATGTGAGTTTTCCATATTAGTCGAAATTAATACTTGAGTATTTCCAAATCGTTGAGTCAACATATGTACTGCTCTTTCATAATTGCTCGCTGTCAATGTTAATCCAGATATTAATTTGTGGGCACTTCCCTTAAGCATAAAGATTTAAGATAAGTAAATTTCTCAACATTATTTAATGTGTTGTTATCACCGATAGTTTTCTTAACTGTTCCCAGAATCCTCTCCAATTCAGAATGCTTCCATCAAATTTCTCTAGTGTAATTTTAGGTAAATCTACATTACTTTGACACGAACTATTAATTGACTTGGATGCAACTTCAACTTTATTTGAAGTAATTGTTCGAGTAATTAATAACTGAATTTCATCCAAAGACTGTGAGCTTTCGTTATTTTCAGTATCAATGGCGTCTTTATCATCACTCATAGTCAAAATTTCATTATCCAATGTTTGTATAAGATTTAATTTTAAAGATAAGTTTTCCGAACACAAATTCAATCTTTCTGAATCGTCTTTAATGTATTCAAGTTTCTCTCCAATTCTGAGAAGGTGTTTCCGATGTCCACTTCTGATTCTTTTCTTCTTATTAAGAATTACACTCATTTTAAACAATATTCAATTTAATATTAATCAAGTCGAGGTCACCATTTTGAATCCACAACGGACTCTAATAAGTAAATCAAATGACAGATAAGAGAGGATAATATATTTCAATAATAAACAAAACTAGAACGCCATTATGCTTTCTAGAAACTTAACAAGATAAGAAAAAACGTGCTCGCGCGTAAAGTCTAAAAACTGTTACTAGGACCCAGTCCTTTTAAACTAGTTTCTACACTTTCATTGAATATTGAAAAAACAAAATATAATTTGTTTGCTAAACCATCTAAATCCGAGAGCGTTCCAATCACACTACCAAAACTAACTATTAACAATATTAAAATAAAAAGAGTTATTTAAATGAATATACTTGAAATAATTTTCGACAAACATTTTAATTCGAAAAGCCAAATAAAGCTAGTCGAGAACAAAATCTCAAAGACTTTAGGGACAATGTATAAGACTAAACCTCTTTGAATAAAGTATGTTTAAAAAGTTTATACTTTTTGTTTATACATAGTCATATTAACTATTGCAAAATTGCCTAAGCAAAAAATCACTCATCTTTCCTAAAAACTATTTATACAAAACAAAAGCAAGCAAGTCGATTAGTTTTGGGCATAGATAGATACGAAACTGCCGAGCCGTTACTCAAAGAAATAAATGCCCTAAACGTATACAAATTAAACATCTACCATAACTTGTTATTTATGTTTCAATTCTAAACGAATTAATTCAAAAACATTTTTATAAAAACTCCTCTCTTATTAGTCATAAATATAAAACACGACACTCAATAAATAATTACTACATCCCACTAACATGACTCAAAAAGTCTGACTTCTCAATTACATTTCGGGAACAACGCTTGTAGAACTCGGTTCTTGACGAAAATATGAAAAATATAAAATCTATTGATATATTTAAAAAAGCTAGAAAAAAACACTAACTTAATTTAAACAATACGTTCATTGTCTCATATATATATATATATATATATATATATATATATATATATATATATATATATATATATATATATATATATATATATATATATATATATATATATATATATATATATATATATATATATATATATATATATATATATATATATATATATATGTTTTAATTTTGTTTTATAAAAAATATGAATAGATGAATTTAAATAAATAAAATGTTTGGAATCTTTTTCAATTCAAAACATCTTTTGTATATTTAAATATATATTATGAAGTTTATTAGATATATATACGCATATGTACGGATTTGTAAATTATTTTTTCAAACCTATTTGTTTTTTATTATTTTTAAACTTTAAATTATTTTAAAAACTTTTTGATTTTTTCAAACTTTTTAATTTATTTTTTTAAACATTTTTTAATTTCAGTCTTTTTTATATTATTTGAGGTTGTAAAATTTTTTTTTCTATTTTAACGAAGGGGTTTGATGATAAGACATTTTGTCTTCT